GCCACCTGACCTGCCCACCTTCTCTCCCCTCCCCCAAGCATGATGCGGCTCTCCTAGCCTGGCCTAACCCAGCCCAGCCTGGCCCGGTCCAACCCAGCCCCTTTGGTGGAGGGACCCCACTTCCAGCTCCCAGGGAAGCAAACGTGAAAGCAGCAGTTTTAAACTTGGTGCCCTTTTTGTCTCCCTGCTGGAAGACAAAAATGGGTGCTGAGTTTAAAACTGCAGCTTTCACTTTTCTGGTGAGGATCCTGGGGCCCTGAACTGGTAGAGGCCCCTGTGCTTGTGCCCAGCTGGCCCATCCATTAATCCGCCTATGGCCCCAGTGGTTTCATGCAGTGCTGGGACTGGGAGATTACAGTCATGCCTCTCAGCTGGTGGACACCAGGTGGGTCTCAGCACCAGGAGGCATGCTGCTGGGACACAGCACTTGCAGCATGGGACTCTGCATCAGAACAAATGTGGGGCACTGCCAGGACCCAGAGTCTGCAGCTGCAGATCCAGAGTTGGCAGCTGCTGGGGCTGAGAGTGCCCTGGGCATGGAGTACCACTGCAGCTGGGAGCCCGGTGAGCTGACAGGGCTCCCAACTGCAGAAGAAACCCTAGTACATGTGTGAGTTAAACCTGGATAGTACCAGCTATCTATAAAGTTACACATTTTTAAGATCTAACTTTATAACTGGATGGAGCATTTTATGTTGTGACTGTTTATACTTTGAATGCGTAGCTGGTTATAGTTAACTGCACAATTAACCAGCTAATTGTGCAATACCTATAACATGTAGAGGAGGCCTGTCTCAACCTGCCTGGGAGTAGCAGTGATGCCTATGATATCTGCAGTGCACAGCATCGCTAGCTTATCCCCTCCCATCCCAGACCCATCTCATCTGTCCTTGACTCCACTCCTGATGTGCCACTGTGTCCTAACAGGACAGTATGAACTGCCCTGTATAAAGCCAGCTCCTGGGGAAAATTCTTCTGGGAATAGGTCTGCAGGTAAAAGGCCCATGGTGAAGGGGAGAGCACATCCCAAGGTGACTGTATGTGGACTGCTTGTAGAGCCAAACTATAGAGAGGTAATCGTGTTTCAGCTTGTTTCGATGAAAGAAAAGTATCTAAAACAATCTTGAAACAATTGTAAAATTCTGTTGGCTTAGATGAGACCAAGATTTCACATAGTATGAGAAAATGAGGCAGAATGTGACTCTTGAGCATTGACTCTGCAGTTTAAAACCAGGAACCAGGCCAGAATCAAATGACAAAGGTCCTCACAGACTGTTCTTATTGAAGTCCATTTTAATTAGTAAGGGAAGTCTGATTAAATTATTTTACTTTTTTTTGGAAGGTGAACAAAGAAACTTTCCTGTCAGTCCTACGGAAATTTGATATGGATCTCAAAAAGGAGCATTTTAACCTCTTCCTGGCAAGATGTGGCCTTGAAAACAGTCAGAATGGGATCAGTTACTTGGATCTTATAAGACACTTCCAGGATCGCAGTGACAGGGATCACACAAAAAATTCTCTCTAATCCCAGGCACAAGTTTGTATAAAATCGTTGCTCATTTGTTACAGCTTTTTCCTTTTGATTACATAGCTTCAGTAGAGCTGCACCTATTGTCAGTAAAAATTAGGTCCAAGGTGACAAAAGTGAAATTTCAACCCACTCCTTATCA